AAAAAAAAAAAAAAAAAAAAAAAAAAAAAGAAAAAAGAAATGAGCTATCAAATCATGCAAAGATATACAGGAACCGTAAATACATATTGCTGAATGGAAAAAGCCAATGTGAAAAGGCTGTATATTATGATTGCAACTACATGACATTCTGGAAAAGGCAAAACTTTAGGGACAGTGAAAAGATCAGTGGTTGCCAGGAGTTAAAGGAAGGATGTACAAGTTGCACACAGAGGGACCCTAACCTGTATGATACTATAGCTGTGGATTCATGTCACTCTACGTTGGTCCACACCAGTTGGCAGGGCTGAATTTTTAAACTGTCTGTAGATTAGACCTTACTAAACCTAACTTAAAAATAAAAATAATGGTGGAGGAGGAAGAGATGCTGAGAAGACAAGAACCCAAGGGTGCTGAGCTCCTTGGGACCCCCAGGCAGGCACACACGGGAAGAGGGCCCTGGCCCCTGCCCTTTCGTGCTGAGACCCATCCTGTGCAGCACACTGGTGATATTAACTGGATTGTTACCAATCTGGTTCCAAAGACATTTTCAGCCTTCACATGAAAAACTGAGAAAGAGACATTCGAAGCGGCTAGGATTACCTACCAGCATAAAAACCCCAGCTCCTGCGCTCTGAATCCAGGAGACAGTCGCAGGATTTAAAAGTGACCAGCCTCAAAATGGCTCCAGGCAGTGTTGTCTGGGGCCGCTGATTCAGGCCAGCAGTCCACTAAGCAGAGATGACCAGCACCTCAGCGTACGATATTCCAAACCTCCAGAGTGGCCTGGCCTGACCCTTCAGCACCCCCTACCCCAGGCCGTTCGAGCCCTTTGGGGAGAGCTTGCCACTTAAAGACGCAAAGAACCAGCAAACACATAGGGTTGAAAATGAAAAACATTCTCTCTAGGGTTAAGGCAAGTTCCTGGGGTTAAGACTTGTTAGTGGAGCCCACCTGCTATCCTTTTAAATAGATAAAAGACTTTTCAGTCTCTTAGCATGAAAAACTACATCCACCCCACCGCCCCTTCCACTCTCCCACAACCTGCTCCCTCCACCCCCAAGCCCCTATAATTAAAAAGGCTCTTTTCAGACTGGAATACAATTCAAGCACAATCATTATGAAAACCCTCCCTGTTTCTGTGGTTACTGACAACTCCCTTTGTGTAAATCTCATTAAATCAAACCAGGGACTCCTGTTTTTTGTGACAATTTATAGAGAGAGAAAGCTATGTTGATTTAAGAAATAATGTTGCAAGTATCAGGTATGAGACCTTCTTGGATTAGAAAGTAATATTATTTCTTACTCCGAAGCTAAGCACAAATCAACCATGAAAAATTGATAATAGTTTTTGTTACTGGCACCCTTCTTCTTCCCGGTTAGTGTGTTCCGAGCTTCATAGGAAAAGGAAACAGACGGCTTTCTTTGATGAGCTGTCTTATTTTTTGGCCTTTAAGGAGACAAATGAAAATTCTGAAAGTATTGCTTTAGAAACTATTTTCAATCCATATATTATTGGTAGTTAGGCACAATTTGCTTTTCATTTGATAAGAAAAATTATTAGTCAAACCACAAACAACAGGGGTTTGGGGTTTTCCTTATACCCAAAAAGCTTGAAAAATAAAATGTTTTATAAAATTAGAGATAGCAGTGAGAGTCCCCTGTGTTTTATAGAGTAGATGCTAATACAGAATACTTAGGTATTTCATCTCGGCCTACAGGTTGTGGGAGCTGCTATTGCTCCCCCTTAGTTTTGTTATTTGTATTTCCATTCCAGAATTCCCACATTCTGTAATGATAAGAAGGCTCCTCTTCCCTTATGCCTTTTTCCATCCAAGGATATAAACGGCTTAAGACTCTTCCATACCATACTGTTAGTTGCCCAAATAGACGGCTTTTGGCTACTGTCAAAAACCAGACAATGGTAAACACTGCAGTTTGGTTTCTCTGGGTTTATGAATATGTGTGTCTTTCTTTGCTGGAACTAGGGCTTTCTCTTGCCACTTTGCCTAGTCCTGATGACGGGATCAAGCTCCCCAAGGGCTTCAATTCAAGGGTTAACTTCCACCAGCCATCAGGGTTTTGTTTTTGCAATACTGGTGATAAAAGGCAAGGAGCATTGAGCTACAAGCCGGGTCCTTTCCCTCCACTGTTTTTTTAGTTTTGAGGTAGGGTGTCAATTGCCCAGGCTGGCCTCAAATTTGTAATCCTCCTGCTTCAGTCTCTGGAGTAACGGAGATTATAGTCTTATAAGAATCTTCCTAAAGGCGAGGCATGGTGGCACACACCTGTAATCCCAGCACTTGGGAGTGGGAGGCTGAGGCAGGAGGAATGGTGCGAGTTCGAGACCAGTGTGGGCTACAAAGTGAGCTCAAGGCCAGCTTGAACTGCATAGTGGGCCCCTGCTTCAAAATGGCAAGCGCGTGAGCGTGAGTTCGGTTCCTGGTACCGGAGAAAAAAAAAAAAAAAAAAAAAAACTTCCTCAAAAAAAGGGACAAATCAAGATATATCAGGTATATTTCATGTACAGGTACAAATTCCCTATGATGAATGTGATTATTGTAGATACTTAAACTGTACCAATAAACTCAATTAAATTTAAAAAAGAGTCTCCTGTCTCACCAAGTCATGCTTATTTTCTAGCTTTATACATGGCTGCTGTAATCAACCGCAGTTAATCAAGTCAGGGACAGGGAGCTAAAAAAGAGACACAGAAACGAATGGGGCTTGGGTGTAACACACTGGCAGAACATTGCCTGGTATGTGAAGGCCTTAGGTTCAACCCCACCTCTTCAAAAAAAAGATAATGAGCATAGGTGGGCAGATATGCAGAGACCCTAATGCCATGTCAAACCTGGAGTTGCCCCTCTTCCCACATCTCCAAGGGTCTCAGATACCCACAGCAACGCAGTGCCCCAGTGTTCCTGTCTTGTACTATGCTTGTTTGTGCAGATTTCATTCCACACTTTATTACAGAGCCTTCTTTCCCTTGTCTTTATCCTGCAGCCGATTGCAAGATGTCATCCTTCTGGGTGGTCCCCCAGCCCCGGCACTATGCTCTGCCCAGATGCCCTTGTGGTGAAAAGACCTCTTATTATTCATCACAGGGAGTGTCAGGGAAGTATCTATGCCTGAGAATGTGGAGCTGTTGAACCGCGATCAGACAACGCTTTAGGAAGAAGGATAACCTTGTGGGAGAACCATCTTCCGATGGAGATAAAGCAAGCTTTAACACAGAACCAGAAATATCTTTCCCTTGAATGATTTTGTGAAGACCTAGGAAGACCCCGGGAGGCTTAGGAGTGGAGGAAAAAAGTCTCAGACAAAGGGAGAAGGGAGGAGAAAGCGAAAGAGAGCAGAAATTCAGGGGCACACCCTCTTGTGAGATTGCGTGGTGATTAGCAAAGTAACAATGAATATTTATGAAGGTGGCGCTGATTATTTTACAGGGATTCATTTGAATAATCATGAATATGTTTCCATGCATTTGCACCTAATGGGATGGTTTTTCAGTCTTTAATGAGGCACTGGCGCGTGTTTGAAGAGAAAGGGAGAGGAGAGCAGGAGCAGGGAAACAGGGATGAACAATGCAGGTCAAAGCCCTGCTCTCCCAACACGGCTCTTATCCCCATGTCCTGTCCACGCAGAGCCGGGGGAGAACATCTGAGCGCAGACAGTGTGTGCCTTTCAGAGTACGGGTACAGGCTGACATTAGTTGCTGTTTCTTCTAACCGGCTCTGCCCTTGAAGAGAAGGTCATCTGAACAAGGTCTCTGTGTTTCTGTCCTTATCATTTCCAAGATTATGCATCTGAGTTTCAGGGCGAAGCGACTTTTCTAAGGGCACACGGCTGTGTAATTGCTCGAACCAAGCCTTCAGATTCCACCCCTCAGATCTCTTCCAAGAGCCTGGGGTAAACTCCCGGCTCCTTCGCAGGGGTCACTGTCAGGAGAGTAACAGGGTGTTAAATGGTTTGTTTTGTTCAGTGGTGGCAGGAAAGTACCGATTTATTCCTGGTACCCTCAACCCCTGGCAGGATGTCGGGTGCCGGGGCTGCCAGTGGTTGTTTTGAAGGGAGAGATGGCTGGAGGGGAAGGGTGGTGGGGGAAGGGAAGGTGGCCGCAGGGAGCACAGGTTATGTTCCCCGAGCTGTTCCTGGGGGTGGGGAGCAGCCAGGGACCAAGGAGGAGAACGCTGATGTGGGAAAAGTTCCAAGCTCCTCCACATTTGAAGAGAAGGAGACGTGAAACCAGCTCTACAAAAAGCGTAAACCAGAAGGCCAATTAGTTCTCTTCTACAGAGCCCGGGGTGTTCATGTGGGCGGCACATGCAAAGAGGCCAGGTCATCCTGCGCCCGCAGCTGGCCAGCCCCGGGGGTCACCCAGCCTCAGCTCTGGCCTTTTCTGTGTATGCAGTTTCTTCTGGGGGGCTCTCCAGGCTTCCCCAGCTGGGCGCTGAGTTATGGGAGCCCAAAATGCAACGTGAGTGTGGGCTGGGGCCTAGCGCCCGGGCAGACCAACACGTGGGAGCTATTATTAGGCAATGCCTCAGCCTGAAGCGGAATTGCAATCCGGTTGCCAGCTCCGTAGGAACTGGAGCGGGGGAGGCGAGAGGTAGGAGGGTGACTCAGCTGTCGCTGCATCCTTCCTGCGCCGGGCCACACCTGCCACATCAGCTGGCACCTCCCGCCCAGAAAGATTCTGGATCGGCCCTGTCGAAGCCCGGTTCCGACTGCAGTTTATTTTCCCAGGTTCTAAACTAACCCGCCCCCCTCTGATTGACACATTCTTTCTTTGGATATGCTAATACCTGCAGTTAGATTGCTGTCTCGTCTTGTTTGGCCCGCAGGCTTTGGCTCTTAAGGGGACTGCCTATCTCAAATCTTTCACGTTGTTCTTTTTTTTTTTTTTTTAATAGTTCACCTATAAGGAAGCACATTTTAAACTTTGTTTTCGAGTTCCTTTGGGGATATCTTAGTCTGAATATGCCAGACTGGCATCCATGCAGGTGCCCATTCAACAAAGCTGTAGTTGTGTGTCTACTATGACCTGTGTTGTTGTTGTTGTTTAAACAGAAGAAATTATATTTCACTTTCCTCCTAGTCTTATAAACTGGGTTGTTCAATACATTGTCATGTTTTGTTTTGTTTTTTATCTTTTTGAGGTAAGGTCTAGCTATGCAGTTCAGACTGGTCTTGAGCTCACTTTGTAGCCCAGGCTGGTCTCAAACTCACAATAATCCTCCTGCCTCAGCCTCCCCAGTGCTTGTTCAATACATTGTTATGAAGAGTAAATGGACACCCCTCCCCCACACACACACACTAGAGATTGAACCAGGGCCTTGGCACTGAGCTACATCTCTAACCCTTTTTAATTTCTTTTGAGCCTAGGTCTCTCTAAATCGATAAACTGGACAGACTGGGCTCCAATTTGTGATCCTCCTGCCTCAGCCTCTCAGAGGGCTGGAGTTACAGGTATGTGCCACTACACCCAGTTTAAACTGATAAGAACAGATACTACACTTGATCTTAGCCAAAAGGCCGAGAAGCGATACACTACACCCAGTTTAAATGAAGTAATTCTTTGTTTTGTTTTTGTTTGTTTGTTTGGTCTTTTTTTTTGAGACAGGGTCTCCCTATGCAGTTCAGGCTGGCCTTGAGCTCACTTTGTAGCCCAGGCTGGTCTTGAACTTGCAGTGATCCTCCTGCCTCAGCCTCCGAGTGCTAGGATTACAGGCATGTGCCATCACACCCAGCTTTGTTTGTTTTTTGAGACAGGGTCTCACTATGTAGCCCAGGCTGGCTTTGAATTTGTGATCCTCCTGCCTCAGCCTTCCACATGCCAGGATTATAGGTATGTGCCACCACACCCTGCTAAATGAAGTAATTCTTCAAGAAGGATTAAATGAATAAATCATGAACACCATAGTGCATGGCATGTAGTAGGCAATAATAAACGGAGGGGTGTAGCTGGTGATTCAGTTCAGTGGTAGAGAACTTAGCAGGAATGAGGTCTTGAGTTCAATCCTTGGCACCACAAAAACATTAATAAAATTTATTGAATGAGTGAATGGATAAGCATCACTTACTGTTACTCTTGCCAGGTGTTATCCGACTTTTTGGGTTTTTAATGGTGAACCAGGCACAGGAAGACCTGCCCTCCTGGAGCTAAAGTCTATGAGGGACAGCGACAAAATCATCCCAGTGCTGTGGGATAAATGCAAGGAACAGGGAAATACCCAGTGTTATTGGAGCTCCTGGCAAGAAGACCTAACCTGGTGATAAGGTCTGTGGTTCCCTGAAGGAGGGCGACACGACAGGAACTGTAAGAGTTAGCCAAATAAAGAGGTGGGAGACCTGAGTGCCTGACCGAGGGCCTCCCTGGTGCGAAGGCCTCGAGGCAAGAACACCTTTCTTCCAAATGAGAAAGTTTGCGAGGGTTCCTCGCCAGGAATGTGGGCCAAAGGGGTCAGGGAGGCAAGCTAGGGATGGACTTGGGAGGGGTAAGTCTTAAAATCTTAAGATTCCATCCTAAGGACTTTAAAGTATTTATAAAACAGTGGTTCTCCAGCTTGATAAAAAGTGGAGTTTGCGGTACTGGGGCTCAAATCCAAGGCCTCACACATACTAGGCAGGCACAGGCCTGATGAGCTACATCCCCAGCCTGAGATCTTGTCTCAAAATTTTTGAAAAAGCGGTGTAATTCAGCTCAGCACTCCGTGGGAACAATCCCCAGTACCAAAAGGGAGGAGGGAAGGAAGGAAAGAAGGAAGAGGGAAGGGATGCAGAAAAGGAGGGAGGAGAAGAGGACAGAGTGCTTCATAAGCACATGCTCTCTGATAACTAACCCGCTCTCCCAGAACTACATTAATCCCTTTGGGTGGGTAGAGCCCCAGTGACCCAAACACCTTGTAAAGTCTCCACCACAATTACATTTGCAGTGAAACTTCAGTGTGAGTTTTGGTGGGGATAAACCACATCCAAACAGTAGCAGTAACCTATCCTCATTTACAAACTGGGATAATCGCAGTATCCAACTCAGAGATTTGTATGAGACAATGCGGGTGAGATGAACTAGTACTGACAGAATAAAATACTGATGAGCTACATCCCCAGACCAGCACCTGGTATGGAAGCAGTACTCTGGCTGGGCATGGTGGCTTGCACATCTGTAATCCCAGCACTCAGGAGGCTGAGGCAGGAGGATCACTAGTTTGAGGACAACCGGGGCTACATAGTGAGTTCAAGGAACCACATAGTAAGACCCTGCCTTAAAAAAAAAAAAAAAAAAAATTAGAAGCAGTGCTTTGTAAATGGTGTTATTGGTGTTTTTCTTGCTAGGACAGCTCCTGGAAGTCGCCTGTGCTGCAAAGCCAGCTATCTAAAGCCAGCTATTTAAAGCATGTCTGAGGAATGCAGAGAGAGGGTGAAAGCCTACAAGCTGCTGGAAGATGGAAACTCCCAGAACGTCCAGCTCCGCCTCTTTTTGGTTTAGTCATCCTTCTTGCACACTGTTGCTTGGTTTCCACCGTTACTGGAAAAGGAGGAGCTGGAAGCAGGTCTCTTAGGGAAGGCGGAAGTAACTCCTTGTAGAGCACAGCTCAAGGAAAAGCATAAGACCCTGTGAGAGAGAGGTCCAAGACCTGCCTGCCAAAGTGGAACATTAAAAACAGAGGGAAGAGTCCTGCACATCTGAAACGTACTGAAGACTTCACTGTACTCTAGAACAATTCCTAAGAGCATAAAGGCTCTGGTTAGAATACCTCTTGTCCATCAAAGTAGGAGAATATTTCAGGAACTTCAGAAACAATGGTATATTGGATGGAAAAATGTGGCTTTATAAAAGATCCAGTGAAAACAGCCCAGTTAATACATCTCTGGGGGCTGGGGATTTAGCTCATCGGCACAGTGCATGCCTGGCAAGCGCAAGGTTGTGAGTTCGATTCCTGGTACCGGAAGAAAAACAAAAACAGAAATAGCAATTTGGGGCTAGGGATTTAGCTCAGCGGCAAAGTGCCTGCCTGGCAAGCGCAAGGTC